AAAGTTAGACACCTATCATCATACATGATTGTTGCAATAATTTGCCGTGTACATGTACATGTGCATGTATATACATGTACAATGTATGCGTTTCAATTATATAGTCTCTCTTATTATTTATAGTCTTTATTCTGCTGTTAGTGACCAGCTGGAGTTGCTACATGGTAAAAAGGTATCCTATTATATTCCATGCACATAAATGTATATGTATATTTATACAGTTTAATTACTAATTTTATTAATGTTTAATCTGTGTGTGCTCAATAGCACATGGCTAATTCAGTCAAATTTGCATTTTATTAATTTTTAAAGTTGCTCCAAAATCCGGCAAAATATATTCCATACACATGAATGTATATGTACATTTGTACAGTATAGTTTTGGGGAAATATAATGTAATATTTAATAAGTCTGCTGTTTCATTTATGTGTGCATAATAGCAGGTATCAATTTTGCATTTTACAAATTTTAAAGTTGCTTGAAAACCGGGCCAATTTTCCCTGTACTATAGTACAGTGTTTGACCAAAATTTTGCCAAAAATGACAAATAGAAAATTCTCCATTTTTATAATTTTTATCTGATACAATTACATGTACTTATGTTGTGTAGAGAGTTTGAATTGGTTCCATTCAAATTTAATTTTTTATGAATTAAAAGTTGACCCAAAATACTATGCAAGCACGTTATAGTTCTTAGAAATGGCTTTGAGACACTCTCCATTTTTAGATCAGTGTAGAAAGACTAAGAGGAGAATGTGGTAGCCATATTGAAGCTAATACTGAACTCTTCATGTCATTTATAACTAATCCTGACACTGGAGACGCCTGTACTCCAGGTAAGGGAGAGAAGGAGGAAGAGAGAGAGAGAGAGGTGGAGGGAGGAGAGAAGGAAAGAGAGAGCATAAATATGCATGCAAATAAAAAGAATAGTGGATGGGAAAAAGAGTGAGAGAGAGGGGGGAGGGAGAGAGAAAGAAAAGATTAAAACAGTTAGCAAAATTTATGTCTTAAATTTTATTTAATTTATGTAGAATATTTTCATTCGTATTGCACTGAAATAAAGGAAACCGCTGCTTGGGGAGGAGAAGCAGAGGTAATTAATGTAGTACATGTACATGTACACTAAAAATTTAATTTTATAATTTAAATTTAATGATGTTTTTATTTATGTACATGTCCAGTTAGTTGCTTTGTCTCAAATTTACAAACTGCCCATTGTAATATACCAATCTGAAGCTCCTGCACTGTTTATTGGGGATGGAGATAAATCAGAAAAAACAGAATCTTTAAAATTATCGTAAGTTGTGTTACATGTACATGTACACATGTACATGCAATGTAACATGTAATGTG